ACACTCTTCCACTGAGCTACATTCCCAGACCCTTCACTATTTAGCCCAGGCTGGCCTCGAACTCGCAACAATCCTCCTGTCTCAGCCTCCTGAGTGCTGGGATTACAGGTGTGCACCACCACACCCTGTCTTTTTGGATATTTGAGACAGGGTCTCACTATATAGTTGAGACTGACCTGGAACTCACTGTGTAGTCCAGGCTGATCTTGAACTCTCAGAGATCCTCCTGCCTCAGCCTCGTGAGTGCTGGGATTACAGGCGTGCGCTACCATGCCCCACTTTTTTTCTTTTCTTGAGATAGTATCTTTCTAGAGTTGCCAAGGCTGGGCTTGAATTTGGGATCCTGCATCTGCCTCCCAGAGTGCTGGGATTACGGGTGTGTGCCATTCATTATGTCTGGCTTCCAACCTGCTTTTTAAATAGACAAGAGTGACTGTAATGTGGGTTATAGATTAGAGAGAAAAAGAAGCGCGGGAGTCTTCCCAGAGCTTGTAACATAGCCATGAAGGGAGCCACCTCGCAGCAGGACCTTGGTACCAGTGCACTCTGTGGCTCCTCCAGCACTGCCACCTGTGTCATCTTGTGAAGGGATTTCTAGGTCTGGAGAGATGGTCCCATGGAACGCTCTTGGAGGGTCAAAGTACCGTACTGGATGGAGCAGGTCACCCGTTCCACTGGGACATATCTGCCAGCTTCAACTTCAAAGGAGGGTGAGAAGAAATGAGTTGTGCTTAAAGCACTAAGCTCCATGAACTCTTAGGTCCTCTTTTTGTTTTTAAGTAGTAGCATCTGTTCTGTTTTTCACCAACCACTAAAAATAATAGCTCCGATTATTTGTGTGTGTTGTGCCAGCACTGAGCACTGAGGTAATCTCGTTTGTTTTCTTTTTTCTTTGCTTTTTGTTTTTGTTTTTGAATTGGTGTCTCAGGCCAACCCAGGACGCCCATGCTGGCCTTGGAGCTCGAAATCCTCCTGCCTTAGTCTCCGAGTAGCTGGGATTACAGTTGTGCATCACCACACCCGGTTAGGTCATCTCATCTACTACTAAGCACCCCGTGTAGGTCGGTATTATTTGTTATTATTAGAGGTAGTGAAGCTGAGGGTCAGAGTGGTTGGGTAACTTGCCAGAAGCCACCCAGCTAAGAAGGAGTGGAACTGGTTTGTGAGGTTCCAGAGCCCACTTCTGCTCCTGTCTTCGCCTACGCGCCAACAAAACACCCCAAGAAAACATGAACGTAGAGACAGATGTCGGTGGACGTCCACTCCGGGTCTGGAGGAGTTGCTTCCTTAGTGAGTTCTACCTGCACGGCCGTTCCTGTGGCTGTGTGTGTCCATCCAGCCTGCTTCCCTTCCCTCCTTGACATCAGAACCCTGGGGCCCGAGTTCCAGCCATTGCTGTTCCCGGTGTTACATGCCCGCTGACGGGTGGGCCGGTCGGCTTTGGCATGTGCTCCCTGTGCATTTGGCTCTCGAGGTGGTGTATCTGAGATCTTTGTTTTTAATCATAATATTTCACTTCTTTTCTTTTCATGCTGGGCCGTGTGAGCCAGCTGGGGTTGGTAGCAAATTTTCCTTTAATTTCTACTGTGATGGATTATTAGTTCATTCACAATACTATTTAATTTTTACATGTGCCCAGAGGCTTTAAAATATAGAGCACATTTGATTATTGTTGGAAATCAGCTTGGACTCCACAAAATGCTCGGTGAGTTAAACTCATGAAACCATGGACCGTGTGACTCCATTAACAGGGACAAAGTCCAAAAATTAAAAGGTAGCGGTAAGATCTGCAGCTCTAGACCCTTCTCTCCTTTAGAGAACATCCACCTATTTTATTTTTCTTTTTTAGAATTAGCTTCTAAATTTTTCCATTAGAAAGGGAGACAGCTGGGTGTGGTGGCGCACGCCTGTAATCCCAGCACTCTGGAGGCTGAGGCAGGAGGATCCCCGTGTGAGGCCATCCTGGGCTACACAGTGAGTTCAAAGCCAGCCTGAACTAGATAGTGAGATTCTGTCTCAAAAAAAAAAAAGAAAGAAAAGCAAGAAAAGGGAGGAAGACGGCACTGGGTGATGATTTCTCCAGCCTGGGCACTCCTCTGGACCCGTTGCCCAAGCTACAGAAAGTCTTTTCCTATCCCTCCTCTAAGAGAGGAGTCACCTGGAGGAGGCCAGTAAATTCACATTAAGGAACAAGAGGGCCAGAGTGAGTCCTTTGTAGCCACTTGAGTGCCTGTGGGCTCAGCTTTGCAGGGTTCTCTAGCACTGGCCAGCCTGTGCTCTTGTGGTGGAGTTTGCTCTTGTCTTTTTATGCTCAGAGCCACGGAGAGGAACAAGTGTGTGTTTGTGACATACTGACATTTAATACGGACTGTAAAAGCCTGTTCTGCGGGAGGTAACCGAGTAAGTTTGGGGATTTGGATTTGAAGCTGAGAATAACCAGAAACTTGCCTGTGAACTTTTTTTTTGAGTTTGCTACAGAAGAGAAGTGAGAAAAGAAATAATTGTACTCCAGGGAAATGCATAATTTAAAAGCTGTCTGCATGCATAAGAAAACAGACTCTGTAGCTGCTCTGTGAATGCGGGGAGGCAGCCAGGGTCATTGTTTCCCTTTCTTCCCTGGCTGTTTGTGTAAAAAGATGGCCCAGTGCTTCCCTGACTCCCTACGGGGCAGCTAGGCCCTGCCCTTCAGAAGCATTTGGCCCGGGAGCTTCTTTCCGCAGCCTCTCTTTCCCTAACTCACCAGCCCTCCTCTTCCCAGAAAGCCTCCCTCCTGCTGACAGGGGACCAGGAGTAGGAAAGGTTGAGGGTATTCAGGAAACCCCAGCAGGGTGCCTGGCTCTTTCTGCCACCTGTAACCCTTCAGCATCCAACAGCTTTGGGCACTGTGAGCCGTTCGCCTCCCTGTCCCCCCACCCAGGACATGTTGAGGATCTGATGAGGGGTCTCTAGTCCAAGGGCCCATGGGTCTTCCTTCCCTGTGTCCTGTTCACTCTGAGGCAGAGCTGAGGGAATCAGTCCTTTCTCCCCTCCGTGTCCTTCAAGTATTTCTGTAATGTTCACTTTAACCCGATTTCACATCTTGAAGGATAGGAGGGAAAGATGGAGCAGGGATGGCTTTATGCCCTGGTCCCTGTAGGCCTGAATCCCTGCAGCACCTCACATATAAGGGTCACCTTGGATATGGAGCCTGTTTGGTTCAGGGCTGCAAAAGGGACATATTCTCAGTAGGGTGAGGCTTCGTGACCACTGTTGTCTTTGAGCCCAGGACTTGGCGGTCGTGTTGCCATGAGAAGATACCCAGTGTTCTAGGAATATGACGGTTACAGGGCCTGTTGGATGGGAAGGGTGCCAGGAAGAGAGTGGTGTCACTGATGAAGTGATTTGGGTTTTTTGGTGTTCGTTTGTTTTTTGTTTTTCTTTTGAAGCGGTCTTGCTATGTAGCCCAGGCTGGCCTTGAACTCTCACAGCAATCCTCCTGCTTCAGCCTGGGTGCTGGGATTACACGTACGCACCGGTGCACTATGCCCTGTTGAATTGATGGATATTTAACTGAGCTCTTTAGGCCTGAGAGTTTTTATTGGTTTTACTGTTTTTGTTTTTTCAGTATGGCGACTTGAACCCAGGCCTCATGCATGCTAGGCAGGTGTGCTACCACTGAGCCACACCGCTGGCCCCAAGTAGCTTCCCCTTTGTAGGAGTTGGTTTCAGTGAGGTTTAGAGGAGAAGGAAGACTGGTTTGCGTTGCAGGCTTTGTCTTAAAGGCACAGATGGATGGATCTGACATAGTGCAGCAAGGAAGATCTGATTTTGTTTTTCTTCCTTCTCTGTCTCTAAATAATTTTATCTTCAAAGCATGACGCAGGTGTTAATTAACACCCAGGGCTCTCCAGGGAGGTAGGCAAGTGGTAACACTACCCCATTAGTGAAGTCCTGGGAGTTGATGGTGCCAGAGCCCCAGCTAGTTGAGCCGCTGAGAAGCACAGCGTGTGTGCAGACTCCGGGCCCTTACCTTGCTCACTTACTGGGTTACCCTGGGAGCCAGCCCATTGTCTGTGTCCATGGGTCGCACTAGAGTAAGAGAGCTGAGGGGGTGCCAGAGGTGTTTGGTATTGTGGGATAGCTATGGGAAATCTGAGGGTTGGGGCAACATTCTGAGAAAATTCGCTCTCCTTGTGATTTTTCCATCACAGGAGGCTGAATAGACCATCGATTTCATTCATTTACTAATTTCAAAAAAAATGAGCTGGGCATGTGTTTTTGAGCAAGGCATTGCAAAGAGAATCACTTCTCCCAAACATGCTGGCTAGCCTTAGGGGTCCTGCCAGTGGAGAAGTTGATTCTTTGCATCCTGGGCTCAGTCCCTAGGCAAGGTGGATGGTGGCTTCAAGTGCTTGGGCTTTCCCAGCACCCGGAAATGGATGGGAATCTGAATGTGACTACTGGGTGCAGTGAACAGCTAGAGGCTGCTCTCTTCCATCCACTGAGTATGGAGCGGGTGTGTCCTCAGAGGCCCTCCATCTTCCGTCTTGGCCATTGGCTGGAGATGGTGATCATAGCGGTTTTCTAGGTACCTGGGTAGCTACTGAAAGTTCTGAGCGGTACTGAATCTCCAGCTCTAGAAAAGTCATCCTTTGGGCAGCTTAGGCACAGTATAAGAAGCAGACAAGGCCCAGGGATTTAGCTCAGTGGCACCACTCCTGCCTCACAAGCACAAGGTCCTGAGTTTGATCTTCAGTACCAAAACAAACAAACAAACAAACAAAAACTAAAAAAAAAAAAAAAAAAGCAGACAAAATGGTGTCTTTTTTTTTTTTGTACCAGAGATTGAATTCGGTGCCTTGCGAGGCAGGCGGCATACTACTGAGCTAAATCCCCGGCCCCAAAAGGGAGTCATTTTATCCTGCTGGTATTGCTGCCTCTGGGTAACACTTGGACTCTGCTTCTTTTAGAGGAAGACTTGCCCTATTTGCTAATGCTCTTTCCCTTCCTTGGCACTGTAGGCTGCTGAGAACCAGCCCTAGACCTCTGTGTGAGGGTCTTTGCTCTGAAGACATCACCAGTGTGTGGAGCCTGCCCCACACCACCCCCTGCCAAACCACGGCCTTCACCTGTGTCTTCCGGTGTTTCCCGTGCGACCCATCCTGTGGGAGTGCCTCGTGGGCGGCCCCAGAGTTCACCCCACGCTCAGCGGCACCAATGGTGAAGATGACAAGATCCAAGACTTTCCAGGCGTATCTGCCCACCTGCCACCGCACCTACAGCTGCATTCACTGCAGGGCTCACCTGGCCAATCACGATGAACTAATCTCCAAGGTACGTGCTCCCTGCACACCTCTCCTGCCTACCCCCAGGGAGGGCACTTACGGATGTTGAGGTTGCAGAGCTTTCCAAGCTCTCGAGACCAGGATACATTGGACCCCATCTCACGAACCGGGTCGGCTGGCCTGCGTGCCTGTCTCACTTAACTGAGAAGCAGCGGTGAGCAGTAGGGCCAGGGTAGTGGTTTACTTTGTTGTCTTGGAAATGAGAGAGAGTTCATCCTTGTGGGAAGCTTTGGGGGCTGGCAGAGAAAGGAGGCCAGCAGGCCAGAGAAAGGAGGGGCTAAGGAATGATTGGAGCCTTGTGCTCGGCTTGCTTGGTTTAGGTTGGCAGATGAATTCTGTGAAGAGGGCATTCTGTTTGGGAAATGAATTTGAAGAGCGGTAGGGTCTTGTAGGGGTTCGTTGTTGTTTTCGTTTGTAGCATGAGGAGTGAATCCAGGGCCTGCCTTGTTCTTGGCTAGCTACGTGCCTAGCCCCATTTTGGAGGGTTTATTGGCTAGGACCAGAGAGAGCCCCTGGCAAGCCCCAGGGAGAGCATGACCAAAATGCATGGCCTTTGGGGAGAAACAGAAGTGGCCTGTTGAAGAATTGACCCACTGGCCTGCGAGAACCTTTAGGGCTTTTCCATGAGGTAATGAGTGACATTTGGTCATACTCAGAAGAACAGAGCCCCGTTTCTTCCCTTAGGAGCCTCAGCAACTGCTTGTAAAATTGAGGCTGGGGGTTACTAAGAAATAAACCCAGCATTTCAGTTGTGCAATCCAGGAACTGGATACTTCAAGCTCCATTCTCTGGGGAGCTTCCTCCCTCCTGGCCCTGGCTAGGTTCCCTGGGGAAGAGAAACAGGTTTTACTAGGCTGCATGACAAAGAGAAAAAGATCATGGGAGATTTTTCCCTTCAACAGCATCTTTCATGCCATTAAAGAAAAAACTTTTATGCAGACCTGGACTAAGATTAAAAAAAAAAAAAAAAAAAAAAACAAAAACCCAACAACACAAAACTGTTCCCGACCTATTTATAAGAAATGCTAGAAAAGGTGCTTTGCTCTCTTTGACCCTGTTTTGGTAGCCTCCACCAGAGAGGGAGGATGGCCCAGTCACTAGGTGTAGAGCATTCCTGTCCAGCTGGCTGATTTGACACAGGATGTCTGTGGTAGTCGGTGCTCTCAAACCAAACCTGAGGACTGAATTGCCTGTTCTAGGCCTGGTCCAGGGCGCAGAGTTCCAAGCTGTCTGAGCCCTCAAATTCCTGGCTGCACTTTTACTCTGCCCCACTTTGCCTCTCTGCAGTTTTGAAAATCATTTCTCCTTTAAGCTATTTATGCTTTAGCCAGCCCAGCTCCTTTATCAAAGAATGCATCTTGTCTTAGATTCCTGTTTAATTTTGGGGGAACCTCTCCTCTGGAAATTTGGCTGTGAGAGGGTGTGTCAGAGAAAAGAGTAGCCAGTTTTCTAGGCACTGGAAACAGGCCTGCAAACTTGGAAGAGAATTGTGAATTTTCCTTTTTTTAAAACTGGAAATCTCCAAAGAAAAAGTTTGCCCGTATCTACACTTGATCTTAGCCGAAAGGCCGAGAAGAGATAATGTTTGCCCATATCTAATGGGGAAGCCAAGACATCTTTTTTTTTGATTGTTTGTTTTTTGAGACAGGGTCTCACTATGTAGTTGAGACTGACCTGGAACTCACTCTGTAGCCCAGGCTGGTCTCGAACTCACAGTGATCCTCCTGCCTCAGCCTCCCGAGTGCTGGGATGACAGGCACGCGCCACCACGCTCGGCATGCCAAGACATCTTTTTAACGCAAAGAAGACATCCTGTGTACCGTAAAAAATTGAGGCATCAGTAAAGTGTATTCGGCACCTTCTGTACACTACAAACTGCTACTTGACACAAAAAAATGCTATCTCACTTAATTCTCATAAGAAATCCTTATAGTAGGAGTCTTGTCATATTTTACACTGATGGAGAAGCTGATTCATTGTCCAGAACCTCAAATTAGCAAAGAGAATTTCTACTTGGAGCTGGTGTTCAGGGAGGATTTCTGGAAGAGGTGGTTATTTGAGCTGGCCCTTGCAAGGCGGATTGAAGTTGAGCATATAGCCGTGGTAACGGCCTTCAAAGCATGTCACGTCTGTTTGGCCTGGTGTGCAGGGTCTTTGACAGTCTTGCAGAGCCTAGCTTCTGAGCTCAGTCTCCTGACACTTCCTCCCTTTCTTCAGCCACTCATAACCAAGCCCTGTTCCCTGCATGCACAGGTAAGGGCATCTCAGGCCTCTTGGCCTCCGCTTGAGAGTGTCCCCCGCTCACCCTTCTCACGGGCTCTTTCATACCCGTGGGCCACATCTCAGATCAGAACTGGTCTACAGCAAAAGCTCCGTAAATGATCAGATACACGGGCAGATGGAGCTGGAGCCTGGGAGAAGACAAGCAGAGAATGAAAAGACAAGTAGTGAGCAAAAAGGACTTGGTTGGCCTCCTGTTCTCCTTCCTGCCCCTATTGGTACAGAAAGGCTCATTCACAAGTCCAAGCCAAAGTCAGCAGAGGCTTTGGTTTCATTGGCCGCAGCCGGTGCACAGATGGGGTGCATTACAGCTTGATGATTTAAGGAGCTGGGTGAAATGCCCGACTGGGGACAGAGTGAGGGAGCTGTGGTGAGTGTTGTACAAAGATTCCTTTATTTTGCTCCACAGCCACCCCTGGCATAAATAACCTATAGATTCTTATGCAGGTCCAAGCTTAATGGAAAGATCATCGCCCCAGCCCCCTCCTTGGAAAATGGGCCTTTCTTTTCATTTTTTCCTCTTTTCCATTTAAGAAAGTTCAAGGAGAGAATGTCCCTCCTGTTCTCTCCTCTTGACTTAATCTCCTTGGGTTTCGGAATCCACCCAGTGGGAGCAGGAGCTGGGAAGCAGTTAGGGAGCTGGCAGCAGTGCAGTTGAGCGACACTTCGTAACCTGGAACAGGGCCTTTGGTCTGAAAGCTTGACATTTTTTAGGGAGAAAAAAAAAATAGAGACAAAACCCAAAAAACCTCCTTCCTGTCTCCCTTCATTAAGAAGAGGACACATGGGCCCAGAAAACTCATGTCCTACTGTGTGGCCAGCAGAGGACTGGGAAGAGCCCTAGACCGTCAGGCCTCCTGGCCGCGGGGCTGAGCCCGTATCTGTAGGAAGGGGAAAGAATCCTGTGCGGCCTTCTCCCTTCCGAGGGGCCCGATTGCCTGCAACAAGCCCTCCCACCTCTGAGTCTGTTTCTCCCTTCTCAAGTGGGCAGATAACCTGCTGTGTTTATGGTGTCCTAGCCCATTAGAGCTGCCAGAGCAAATGAGCCACGGAGTTGGTAACTTACTGACTGCGGCCGTTTGTCTCGTGTGGTCCTGGAGACTGGAAGCGGAGAGGAAGGAAGGTGCTGGCAGAGCCAGCGTCTGGTGAGGGTCACCTCTGGCTCGCAGATGGTTTCTTCTCTCTGGCCTCGTATGGTGGAGAGAGCTAAGGACCTTCTCTCTGGCCTCTTTATAAGGACACTAACCCCACTTAAGACGAGGGCTTTGCCTTCATGACCTAATAACCCCCCCCCCGCAAAGGCCCTCTGTCCTAATACTGTCATCTGGGGAATTGGGGTTTGTTTTTGTTTTGTTTTTTCTTAAGACAGGCTCTTGCTGTGTAGCCCAGACTGGCCTCAAACTCTCAGGGATCCTCCTGCCTCAGCCTCCTGAGTGCTGGGATTACAGGTGTGCGCCACCACGCCTGGCTGAAAATTGGGATTTCATTGTGGGGGGAACACACATTTGGAGTGTAGCAAGTGGTCAGCGCTGAGAGTGCACTTAGCCTGTGCCATCCCTGTCACAGCCACGCAGCAGGCGCCCCTCCCTGGGAGAGGGAGCAGGGTTACCTCACTGGGTTGTTGTAAGGCTCAGATGAGATCATGGATGTGTGGGTGGTTTGCAAATGAAAAGGTTTATGCAAATATGAAGTAATTTGCTTCTCTTGGTCTTACTGTCCAAAAGAAATGGTGGAAGGGAATATGTTGGTGGGGAGGGATTACTCCTGCTCAATGCCAAATTACTTTGATTAGAACTTGGAGCACAGGCGTTGGATATGAGGCGTGGGCACTAGAGAGCTAAGTGCGTCAGGTTGGGGTTGTGGAGAGCAGTAGTGGAGCCACTTGCCCAGCGTGCACAAGGCCCTGGGTTCAGTTCCCAACACAGGAAGTACATATGCACGCACACAAAAGTTTATTGTGTCTGTGGGTGTAGAAAGGCAAGAGCCTTTTCTCTGTAGGAGTAGGGGCAAAATTTGAATTGATCCCGAAACTATCTGGGGAATGTGCTGAGGCATCCTGAAATTTCTGTCTTAGCGGGTGTTACGGTCTAAGCGCTGGAGTGTTTGCATGCAGAAATATTTTTGAGTTGGCACAAGGAGTTGCTCACAATGTTGTTTGTTTCTTTATGGTGCCAGCCCCAGTATAAAAATATGCTTTGATCCAACTGAAGCTATTATTATTTTATAACCAGTTAGTTGTCTTGTGTGAGAATAATCTCAGTCAGCGGCACAAGCTTATGGAACCCTGGGCCCTAACAAAGCTTTTGTGTGACAGTGTCGTCTGTGCTCCTTCCCGTGCCTCCTCCCTCCTGCCAATCCCACATAGTGGAGTAGGTCATCGGGGAATGGCGAATTGAATTAGTCTGTCACAAACCCACTCTGGGGACTTGTGACTTCATCCCAAGGCTCAGGTGGCTCTGTGCTCTGGGTCCTTGCGGAAAGGTGCATTGGCGACGGCAGACTGGCCGTCCAAGGCAAGTGGAGGAAGAAATGTTTTGCTCTTGCTCGTTCTCCAATACTATTTGTTTTTGTTATGTTAGATTATCTTCTGAGACAAGTGCAGGGTTCTCAGAATTGCAGATCATCTGGTACAAGCTCTTCTTCATGAGGAAACAGGCCGCTGGTGAGGCAGTGACAGCCAGGCTCTGGCCTCCCAGCCCTCAGCATGTT